ACAAAAAAAAAAAAAAACAACAACTCCCAGCACCCACATGGTAGCTCACAACTGTAACTCCAGTTCCAGGGGATCTGACACCCTCACACACACATACATACAGGGAAAATACCAATGCACATAAAATAAAAACAAATCATTTAAAAAACATTGGTCATTTATATCTCTCAATATCAATGGACTCAATTCCCCAACAAAAAGATGCAGACTAACAGAATGGATGTGAAAACAGGCTCCATCCCTCTGTTGCATCCAAAAAACACATTTCAACATCAAAGATAGACATTACTTCAGAGTAAAGGGTTGGAAAAAGATTTTCCGCGTAATGGATCCAAGTAGCACGCTGGTGTGGCCATTTTAGTATCTAACAAAATAGACTTCCAACCAAAGTTAATCAAAAGAGATGGGGAAGGACACTTTATACTCTAAGGAAAAATCCACCAAGATAACGTCTCAATTCTGAACATCTATGCCCCAAATACAAGGGCACTCACATTTGTAAAAGAAACATTACTAAAGCTTAAACCACATACCAAAACCCATACATAAATAGTGGGAGACTTCAACACCCCACTCTCACATATGGACAGGCCAACCAGACAGAAACTAAACAGAGAAATAATGGAACGAGCGGACGTCATGACTCAAATGGATAGCTACAGAACATCTCACCTAAACACCAAAGAATAAAACTTCTCAGCACTTCACAGGACATTCTCCAAAACTGACCACATACTCAGTCACAAAGCAAGTCTCAACAGATATAAGAAAATTGAAATAACTCCCTGTATTTTATCAGACCACCATGGATTAAAGCTGGATTTCAACAACAGCAGAAACAACAGAAAGCCTACAAAGTCATGAAAACTAAACATCTCTTTACTGAATGACCACTGGGTCAAGGCAGAAATAAAGAAATTAAAGACTTCCTAGAATTCAATGAAATATTGAATGCATAACATACCCACACTTATGAGACACAATGAATTCGGTACTAGGAGGAAAGTTCATAGCACTAAGTACCTTCATAAAGAAACTAGAGATATCCTGTACTAGCAACTTAACAGCAACCTGAAAGCTCTAGAACAAAAAGAAGCAAACACACCCAAGAAGAGTAGAGGGCAGGAAATAATCAAACTCCTGGCTGAAATCAACAAAATAAAAACAAAGAACAATACAAAGAATCAATGAAACAAATAGTTGGTTCTTTAAAAAGGTGGACAAACCCTTATCCAAACTAACTAAAAAGCAGGGAGAGAGAATATCCAAATTAACGAAATCAGAAACAAAAGGGGGACATAACAACAGACACTGAGGAAATCCAGAGAATCATTAGGTCATTCTTCAAAAACCTGTACTCGACAAAATTAGAAAATCTAAAAAAAATGGACAAATTTTTTTGATAGATAACATTTATCAAAGTTAAATCAAGATCAGATAAACAATTTAAATAGACCTATAACCCCTAAGGAAATAGAAGCAATCAGTAAAAGTCTCTGAACCAAAAAAAAAAAAAACCAAAAAAAACCCAAAAACCAGGGCCAGATGGTTTCAGCACAGAATACTACCAGACTTTCAAAGAAGAGCTAATACCAATACACCTAAATTACTCCACAAAATAGAAACAGAAGGAACATTGAAAAATTCATTTTATGAGATCATAGTCACCCTATACCAAAACCACACAAAGACTCAACAACAGGACACAAAAAAGGTGACTGCTGAACTTTGCCAAGACAAGGTAGGACAGTCCTTCAAAATTCCCAGCTTCACAGGAAAGTCTGTCAGATATTCTAGGCCTGTAAAGCAAAGATGGATGCCCCAACATTCCAGAGGAATTTTGGGTGACTGTCCAGGCAGCTTGAGGTCCCTGTCATTAGGTAATATTTCACCCTTCTGGGCTCTTTGATGGAGTTAAAGACTAGATAGTTATAGTTTTCTTTAGTTATGATAAAAGATAAATTAGATACAAAACTTTAGACTCACAAAGATAAGATAGAGTATTTTCTCTAATTTTGCCAAATACAAATAGACTAGATATTGTAACTGTAATTCTTGCTTGATAATTGTTTTTGTTGTTTATAATCCTACTATGCTAAAGTTAAAACTTTCCTTTTTAATTAGACAAAAAGGGAGAAATTCTGTGGAATAATCCTCTAGCACACTGTAAAGATCTGTCACTCAAATTGGTTTAATAAAACACTGATTGGCTAGTAGCCAGGCAGGAAGTATAGGCGGGGTGACCAAACTAAGGATACGAAGGAGAAGGGCAGAATCAAAGAGTTGCCCACAAATTCAGAGAAGCAAGAGGAGAATGTTGTACTGAGAAAAGGTACCAAGCCACATGGCTAAACGTAGATAAGAATTATGGGTTAATTTAAATGTAAAAGTTAGTAAAAAGACTGAGCTATCAGTCAATCATTTATAAGTAATATAAGCCACTGAGTGGTTATTTGGGAATTGGCAGGCAGGAGAGAAAACTATTTACACTGAGATTCCATCTTACACATGTCAGAATGGCTAAGATAAAAAACACTAATGACAGCTTATGCTGGTGGGAGTGAAGACTTGTACAGCCACTTTGGAAACCAATATGGAGGTATTTCAGAAAACTGAGAATCAATCTACTGCAAGAACCAGCTATATCACCCAGCTATATCCAAAGGATGCTCTATCCTATCACAAGGACACTTGTTCAACTATGTCCATAGCAGCTTTAGTCATAATAGCCAGAACCTGGAAACAACCTAGATGCCCCTCAACTGAAGAATGGATAAAGAAAATGTAGTACTCTGCTGTTATAAACAATGACATCAGGGAAATTGAAAGCAAATGGATGGAACTAGAAAAAAATCCTTAGTGAGGTAACGCAGACTCAGAAAGACAAACATGGTATATACTCACTCATAAGTGGATACTAGTTGTAAAGGATAACCATGCACATGAGAGAATATGTAACAAGGAGGGCCTAAAGGGGGACTGGGACACATAGTTTTCCCTGGGGAAAAAAGGTCTCCTGGGTAGACTGGGGGCTGCAGGGGATGGGAACATGAGGGATTGGGTTGAGGGTTAGGTGGAGGGGAATAGTAATGAAAAAGATGTCTTGATGGGGGAGTAGTTTGGGATCAGGCAGAAACGAGGTACAAGGGAAACTCCCATGAATCTACAAGGATGATCCCAGCTAAGATTTCTAGCAATAGTGGGTAGGTATCCTGAACTGGCCATCTCCTGTAACCCTAATTGTCATCAGAGAGCCTTCATCTAGTAACTGACGGAAGCAGATGCAGAGATCCATAGCCAAGCACTGAGCCAAGCTCTAGGAATCCTGTTGAAGGGAGGGAGGAAGGATTGCATGAGCTGGTGTGTGTGTGTGTGTGTGTGTGTGTGTGTGTGTGTGTGTCAAGGTCATCACAAGGGAACCCACAGAAACAACTAACCTGGGTTCATAGGAGCTCACAGACTCTGGACCAACAGCTAGGAGCCTTCCTGGGACTGACCTAGACCCTCTACATATGTGTGACAGTTGTGTAGCTTGATCTACTTGTGGGACTCCTAGTGGTGGGAGCAGGGCCTGTCCCTAACGCTTGGACTGGTTCCCAGGAACCTATTCTTCATACTGGGTTGCCTCGCCCAGCCTTAGTACAAGGGAAGGATCTTAGTCCTACCTCAACTTGACATGCCATGCCTTGTTGACACCCATGGGAGACTTGCCCCTTTCTGAACAGAAACAGAGGAGGAGTGGATGGGGGGGGAGTGCAGGGGGAGGTAGGGAAGGGGATGGGAGGAGAGAAGTGAGGGGAACTATAGCCAGGATGTAAAATAAATGAATACAGTTAATTAATAGAAAAAAAACAATATATAGGGCTGGAGAGATGGCTCAGAGGTTAAGAGCATTGGCTGCTACATGGGTCCCGAGTTCAGTTCCCAGCAACCACATGGTGGCTCACAACCATCTCTAATGAGATCTGGTGCCCTCTTCTGGCCTATAGGCATACATGCAGGCAGAACTCTGCATACATAGTAAATATTTTAAAAAAAAATAGTATAGTACAGTATAGTATACAAAAATATCCTAGTACCAGTGCTATGGTTCAGTGGTAAAGACCTCTGTTCCCAAGCCTGATGACAGAAGTGTGATCCCTGGATCCCACATAGTAGTAAGAGAACTGACTCTCACAAGTTGTGAGATATATTTACATACAATAAGTTGTGGCATATATTTACATACAATAAGTGAAGGCAATTGTAAAATACCCTCATGAGAAACGATACTGTGCATACTGAATATACACAATGAAAAATTTAAAATAACTTTAATCTTAATCTCTGATGGTTCATATTGTTACCTTAATGGGACCTAGGGTCACCTAGGATAAACCTCTAGGTGTGTCTATGGGACATTATTTTTTTCTTTACATTTTGTACGTGGGCTGTGCATGTATGTGTCTGTGCAAACATGTGGAGGCCTGAAGTAAATGTAAGGAGTCAGCCCCCACGACTCTTCCAACCTATTCACTGAAGCAAGGTTTTTTAGTCAATTTCGTGGCTAGCTAGCTCACTCACTCTGGGGATCCCAGGTCCACCTTCCAAGTCTGGAATTACAAGCAGCCTGCCACATCCAGCTGGCATTTCCATGAATGTCTGGGGATCCGAACTCCAGTTCTCCTGACTGCACAGCAAACACTAACCACTGAACCATCTCCTCAGCCCCCGTGAAAGAGGTTTTTTTTAGATCAGGTCAACTGAGGTGGGAGGACTCCTTCTGAACTCAGGTAGCACTAGCCCATGGGCTGGGTTCCCAGTTGGAATAAAAAGGAGACAGTGAGCTGAGCGCCAGTGTCCATGTCTCTCTGCTTCAGGAGGATGGGGGCGATGTGAGTGGCCACCTCAGGCTCCTGCCACCATGCCAGACGGTACCCTCAAGCCATGACCAAATCTCTCCTGAAGTTGCTTTTGTTGGGTACTTGATCCTAACAAGAAAAGTGACATGAAACCATACATAAGTGAAAAGTGTTGAACATTTTATTAAGTTTTAAAAGCTTTACATGTGATGAACGAAGTTTACATGGTGCTTCTCAAAGACGACGTCAGCCCTGCGTTGCTCAGTCATGGCGAAGCTGTGAGAGATCTCTCTCTCTCTTTTAAATGCTTCACGTATTCACACTCTCAGTCCAGGATTGGGAAAAATGTCACCATTTTCCTCCTTCAAGGAAGAACAGACGCTGTTACGCCTCAGGTCACCAGCATGATGTCACAGCACCTTTGACTCTAATGTCCCAGCTGGAATAGAATTGGTTCCAGTGAATTCTAGAACTTATCTCGAGTCACCTCGAGGCCCCTCACAGACACAAATCGTCCCAAATACTTCTTAGGATGGGCTTGGGGAGGGTGGGGAGCAGTTGTAGGGAAGGGCTGTGGGGAAGGGCTGTGGGGAAGGGCTGTGGGGAAGGGCAGTTCCAGACCCCTGTGAGTCACCTAATGAGGGCGCTGGGAACTGAACCCAGGTCCTCTGCAAGAGCGGTATGTGCTCCTAACCACTGAGTCACCTCGGCAGCCCTCGCCTTGTTTGAGATAAGATCTCAGTGGCCTGGGGCTCACTCATTAGACGAGGCTGGCTGGCCACCAAGCCCCAGACACCCCCTTGTCCTCGCTTCCCCAGAGCTGGGGTGACAAGTGCTTGCCGTCACGCCTGGCTTTTATGTGGGTGCTGGAGACTGAACTCAGGCCGTCATGTCCCAAGGCACTTTATGACGGAACTATTTCACAGACATAAAAGATGGCAGGACACACGGACCTGGAATCCCAGCATTTGAGAGGGCTTAGGATAGGCACTAAACACAGCTGTGTGGTGGTAGAATACAGACAGCAAAAGTCCAACTTTTTTTTTTATTGGAGGTCTTGTTATGTAGCCCAGACTGGCCTCGAACTTTCAGCCCTCCTCATCCTAGGATTACAGACATACACCATGTCTGAATTTGCTTTTTTTCAGAGAGAGTCTCATGTAACCTAGGCTGGCCTAAAATCCCGAGTGCTAGGATTACAGATGTGGACCCCATCACTGGGTTCAGCGTCATTTTAACAATGAAAAATTTTATATTTATGTGTGTGTGAGTGTGAGTGTGTGTGTGTGTGTGTGTGTGTGTGTGTGTGTGAGAGAGAGAGAGAGAGAGAGAGAGAGAGAGAGAGAGAGAGAGAGAGAATGCGCATGTACACATTCCACAGCATGGGTGGAAGTTGGAGGACAGCTTGTGGGGTCGGCTCTTTCACTAAGTCGATCTTGGGGATTGAACTCAGATCATAGGTTTGGCAGCAAGCAACTTCACACACCCAGCCACTTGACCGGTTCCATCTTAAAGATTGTCAAGCAGAATTTGCTGCCATTGAGAATATGTGGGAAGTGGGCCCATCACCTCCACCCATCTCCATCTTCCCAAACTGAAATGAAACTCTCTGACCTCATTTAACACTGACACATCTTCTACCCCACCCAGCCCCCTGGGACCCGCCATTCTCTATTTTCTGTTGCTACGAGTTTGCTCACTCTCAGGCCGTCACAGGAGTGGAATCAAACAAGATTTGTCCTTCTGTAACTAAACTGGCTTTGTGTGTATACGCAATATGTGTGTCTACATGTGTGCAAATGTTCACGTGCGCTTATGTTTACAGAGACTGAAAGGTGACTTCACGTGTCTTCCTCAGTCACTCTCCACCTTAGCTTTTTGAGACAGTGTCTCTCATTGAATCTGGAACTATCTAATCCTGATAGACTGGATGGCCTTCAATCCATCTCTGCTTTCCAAATGACGGCTTTACAGGTGGACATGCCATGCCCAGCTTTTCACACGGAGGCTGGGCTGTAGCTCAGGTCCTCATGCTTGTCTGGCAAACACTTTACCAACCAACTCTATCTCCAAAGTCCCCACGGCCTTGAACTCACTATGCAGCCAAGGATAGCCTTGAACTCCTGACCCTCTTCTTGTCTTTACTTCCTGAGTACTGGGGTTACAGTCCAGGGTCATTGCCCCCAGATCACTTTATGTTATGTATATTTTACCACTCAACTGATCTTTATGAAAACTGTTATCTGATCCCCATTTCCCGAAGTGGTGGACAACTCAGATATTTTGTGGAATAACTCATCCCCAAACTATGTATTCCAGAAAAAGACAAAATGCAGTCGGTGGCAAAATGATTTTCCAAAAGCTGGGCCAGACTGCATTGTTTGCATTCTTAGCTAGAAAATCATCTTCAGCTCCCTGTCTCTTCCCTTCCCATCTCCATCCTCCCCCATCCCCCCATCCCTGTTCCAACAAAAGTGGCAAGAAAAAGACAGTTTTAAACCAGAAACAAAGATAAACTCCCGTGGGTGTAGACTGGCTTTGTGTGCACTAGGGAGGCCAAAGGTCAGCCTAGTTGTCATTCCTTGAGAGCTGTCCAGGTTGTGTGCACGTGTGTGTGTGTGTGTGTGTGTGTGTGTGTGTGTGTGTGTGTGTAAGAGGATGAGGAGCATGTGTCCCACAACATACAAGAACAACTTTCAGGAACCATTTCTCTCCTTCTACTGTGTGAGTCCCAGGGATTGAACTTGAGTTGTCAAGCTGGACAGCAAGTGCCTTTACCTAGCTGTGCTGGACAGTTTTATGTCAGTTTGTCAAAGACTAGAATCATTTGAGAGGAGAGAACCTCAATTAAGAAAATGCCTCCAACTAGGCGGTGGTGGTGCATGCCTTTAATCCCAGCACCCCAGGGCTCATATTAAATAATCTGATATAGACAGTCTGTGGTGGTGCACACCTTTAATCCCAGCACTCAGGAGGCAGAGCCAGGTGGATCTCTGTATTTGAGGCCATCCTGGTCTACAGAACAAGTTCCAAGAAAACCAAGGCTACACAGAGAAATCCTGTCTTTTAAAAAAAAAAAAAGGAAGGAAGGAAGGAAGGAAGGAGAGAGAGAGAGAAGAAGAAGAAGAAGAAGAAGAAGAAGAAGAAGAAGAAGAAGAAGAAGAAGAAGAAGAAGAA